CCCCGCCAGAGCCGAACCTGGCTTTGCGGGGCTTTAGACCAATGAAACAAATCTTGCCTGCAGGTTAGCTAGCCAACCGTATATTAGCTGGGTGCGTTGTGCAAACCTATCTCATGCGATTAGTTCTTAGTTCAGTGGGTGTGATAGGAACGCAGTTAATTGGGTTAGCTGTGAAAACGGCGGTTTAAGTAGCCCTGGGTAAACGTATCGTCGGAAGGCAAAGGGCACGGAGTTGCTGAGTTCTGTCGCACGTGCAGAGGCTAAGCCAGCTGGAGCAGTTCTCAAATGGGCAAGCTCAGAGATTTCAACGAGGGTTGTGGCTGAGATGTTCCCTCCTTCCCCCTGCATACATTTTTCGTTTCTGCTGTACGGCACTTCTGTTACTTTGGGTTTTGCCGAAACAAAAGCAGAGGGAGCAGGGGGAAATGCCATTGATACGCCGCGTCTCTGTTAGAATCCAAGCCAACACTTGTTTTTTCACAATCCGCCCCCCCCCCCCCCCCCCCCCCCCCCCCCGCGCACCCGCTGTACTGGAAATTGCTCCTCCTTCCTCATTCACCGCTCGGTTGCTTTCGTCTCAGCCTTCCGGGATCCCCCCGTGGCTTTCCTTGCTGGAAGGTAAGAAGGGCGCTAGGACCTGGCGTGCCGGCCGGCAAGCTGCCGGCAGCCCAGGCAGTCCGAGAGACTCCTCCTTATTTCCAGTGTCAAACTTGACATCAGGCTGCGAGCGGAGCATGGTAACTTCTCCTGCCATCAGAGCGCTCACATCAGTGGCATGCTCCGGGAAGAGATGCAGCTCGCGCTGCCCTCTGCACCAGCCACAGCATGGATTGTCACTTCGCCAGCCTCCTCCTCCTCCTCCTCGGATCTACGCTCGGCTGCTTGGGAGATCTGAGTCTTTACCCAACCAACGAAGGTAAGCCGAGGAGGCGCTGCTTTTCGGAAAACCGGGAGTTAAATGCCAACTGCCAACCTGGTCCACGGCGGTTGTTCTTTTTAAGGTGGCCCGGGAGGTGCGCAGCCTTCGTCCCAGTCCAGCCGCTGCGCGTTTTGTGAGTGTAGCTATGAACGGGCACCGATTGGCAAACTTGGTCCGGGTGCGCGTGCTGGTCCGCTGGCCACGGCGGTCCTGAGTCCTCTCTCTCCCTCCTTGGAAGATGCAGGTGAAGGGCAGCCCGCGCAGGGTCAGCCCTCGGTGTTTGGCATCAGCTGGGGGTTGCCGGTCGCGCGTCGAAGCGGGTGTCAGCGCAAAGTGACTTGGGTCCAGGTTATAATGAATGAATAGGGCGTGTATGTTTGATTATTAGCATAAATGTGTTGGCGCAGAGAAACCTTCCCAGGGAAGTCCTCCGTGCAACCGCCTGCCTTTTAAGGAGGGGAGGAAGAGGCAACTACCGGTGCAACTATTTTTGGTGAGAGAAAGCGCTTGGGAAGAGGAACAAAGAGTAGATCCGGAGAAACGAGACGGTGCTTCTAAAACGATGCTAATTTCGTATCGCCTTTTCTTTTTATTCAGTAGCTAGAGGTCTGATTTTATCTGGACTAACGATGAATGGGGTGTAAGGCAAACCTGCCTTTACTCGGGGGGGTGTCCCACGAGTTCATTAGAGCTTACCCCAAAGACCTCTTTTGCAGAGATCACAGCTTGTGACTCATTTACACCTATTGTTGTGACGTAATTGCACCGAATCATTCTACAGAAATAATTAACAAAATAAAAACCCAGTAGCCCACCCACTTTAAAAGACACTGGTTATTGAAATTAATGTTTGCATTTTAAAGCATTGCTTTATTAGTTTGCCTCACAAAATCTGGGTCTAATAAAATGTTGCTTTTAAAAATCACCTGTATTGGTGTGACTTGAGGGCACCACTTATTTTGCTATATAAATTGAATATGTTATAATCAATTTAAATAGGTGCAATATGAGTCAGAAATTGTTACTGGGATTCTACAAGCTGTGATTTTAAGGGGAAAATGTGACCATTGCGTACTTTTTCTTCTTAAGAATAATGGAAAATATTCCACACATACTCAGTTATGTATTGTTGAAGTTAGAGCACTGAACATTCAACCTTCAGCATGAGTATTTAAATACACTTTGTGTGCATACAGGCCAAAGGGTGGGTGCAATTCATGTCCAGTAAGTGTACAAAACCTTGCACCTGCTCGATCACCACCACTTTAAGGGATTTCTAGATTATTTTTTTTTTAATTTTGTCTTGTGTTTTGAACAAGAAAAGACAGATTTATTTATTTATTGGTTCTGCTTTGTGGGGAGCTACATTCAGGGACAATACAAGATAGCAAATGATTTTCACAAGCAAATGGCCAGTTTATTTCAGGTTAA